GTGGAATATATGTAGACGTCACTTTAGAGGTATGTGTGTGGACGTCACTTTAGACTTTAGATGTATGTGTGGACGTCACTGTAAGACGTGTACGTGTGGACGTTAATATAGGACGTGTATGTGTCAAAGTCACTTTAGAGGTATATGTGTTGATGTCACTTTAAAAGATGTATGTGTGGACGTCACTGTAAAAGGTGTGTGTGATGACGTCACTATAAGAGGTGTATGTTGACGTCACTTTAAAAAATGTATGTGAGGACGTCATTGTATGAAGTGTATGTGTGTACGTCACTGTAAGAGGTATATGTGTGTACGTCAATGTAAGAGGAGTATATATGTGGAGTCACTACTGGTTATCTCCACTTTAACCTTATTACATATAATGTAACACTACCTCAGTGAGGATATAGTGTAATGATCACCTACTGAGATGGAATGTGTTCACCGGCTGACCCTGAGAGACAACACAACCAATGACACTGCTAGCGTCTGGATCCTTATTTATTGCATTTAGAGAATTGTAATATCCAGTACAATTACAAGTACATAGATGTATCTATTGCCCTTCATTACGTCTACTTACACCCCGTTATTCAATGCCCATGTCAGCAACTGGAATTTGAATGCCAGTTGACACAGTCGCAAGTACCCAGAGTCCCAGATGTCACATGACATGAGAAACACGGTGAAAAATTATTGCTCAATTATTGCAAAAAATAACAAAAACAGTTGCGGCCCCAAGGGGTAAATTATCTCCATTGACTTATAACACATACTGTGTGTTACAATAGTATAAATGGTAATATAGCTAGACCAGGGGTCGGCAACCTTTTGAGACGGAAGAGCCAAAAGTTACAATTTACTAAATTTCCAAGTTTTTAAAGAGCCACCACCACTTCAATATTACAATTTTGATGTTATATATATATATATATATATATATATATATATATATATATATATATATATATATATATATATATATATATATATATATATATATAAAGCAATGTATGTCTGTGTGTGTGTCTGTGTGTCCTTTATGCATTACTACACCTCTCATCACATCGCCGTGAAACTTTGGGAAGTTGTTGAAAATATTCCTGGGGAGGTTTCTGCGAAAAAAAAATTTCAAATTCGCAGGGGTGGCGCCCCGACAGGGCGCGATTTGTTTTTTTCTATATACGGTATATAAAAATAAAAGTTGATTTTGGTTTGGCATCGTTCATCCGATAGCCATGAGACTTTGGAGAGTTCATTATACCACTCTAGGGAAGGGTTCTGTAAAAAAAAATCATTTTTAATATCGCAAGGGCGGCGCCACGGGAGGGTCCGATTTTTCTCTATATACGGTATATAAAAATAATAAAAGTGAATTACTGTGACATCGTTCACACGATCGCCATCACACTTTGGGAATATGTTGAGAATGTTCTTGGGGAGGTTTCTGCTTAAAATACATTTTCAAATTCGCAGGGGTGGCGCTCCGGTAGGGCGCGATTTGCTTTCTCTCTATAAACGGTATATAAAAAATAAGAGTCGATTGCAGATTCACACTGTTCATCCAATCACCGTCAAACTTTGGTTAGTTTATTAGAGCATTTCAGGGAAGGGTTCTGTAAAAAAAAATCCTTTTTAATTTCGCAAGGGCGGCGCCACGGGAGGTTGCGATTTTTCACCATATACGGTTTATAAAAATAAAACTCGAATGCGGTTCATCTGAGTGCCATAAAACTTTGGAAAGTAGATGAGAATACTCTCGAGAATATTTCTGTGAAAAAAACACCTAAAATTTCTTATGGGCGGCGCCATGGAGGGTACAATTTTCGTCAACAACGGTTTGGCGCCCAGAGTTTTAGAGCGACTATGTTGGCACTTGGCATCCGTTAATCGAGCGTCCTGCATAGCGAGTAAGGTGTACTACTATATTCAGCGGTAAAACTACAACAGGCTTCTAAAAATAACTTTGTAACGCGAAGGAAATCCTTCTGTCCGGTTTCGTCACCTTGCGAAAGGTGAAAAAATAACTTTTTGAGAGCCTACTGTAGAGTTTCGTCACTTTACGAATGATGCAATAAGCATCTACTATTAGACAATGCAGTCAGAAATTGAGATCGAGCATCTAATAATAGACCATTAGTAACGCTAGCATATTGCATCAGTCACACTGATGTTTAAAACACGTCAAATACTTTTTTACGTATTAAAGAAAAAAAGCCTGTTCATTTGTGGCACTTTAGCGAATGATGAAATCTGCATCATTATTAACAGGATGCTATTTGGCACGATGGCGCCTATTACTTTTAAGGAGCCAGGGGTCGTACGCCGCGCCTATGCGGTAGTGTAATCGGGGGGAGGGGGGGGGAGTGGGGACCCTGAGAACGCCCCTCTACGCTCTGACACAGTAGCGGTCACCGAAGTGTGTTACCAAATTATTTCGGTGAGTGATTAATGTACACTCAAGGTTTTCATGCCGTAGTGTAGGTAAACCCGTGTCCTGATATTTATGATCCAAGAACAGGCATTGTTTACATTTAAATAACTCATTTTTAGAAAAGAAGGTCACGCGTCTAAGAACATATAATTATAATTCATAACGCGTTGGTGAAATCCTAATATATTTCGTCAAACTTTCTTCTATCCCCGCGGCAACGCGCGGGGGTCGGGTACGCTAGTATATATATATATATATATATATATATATATATATATATATATATATATATATATATTACAAATTATAAAACTTTAATTAATTAATACTATTTACAATAGTTTGGTCTTGCATGCCTTGCATGCCTTTTGAAAGTTTGTTTAAAACTGGCTCATAATTTGTTTTCAGTTTCAAGCACGCCTCTGAATTTTTATTACTTAGTTGGCTTCTAAACTTTGTGTTATATTCATGCAAGAAAACGCTTGCTTGCATGAATATGTTGACCTAAAGATCGTCAGCACTCCTAATGCCAACTTCTTCACCTCACTTTAGCATTCTGGAAGACTAGTCCATCGGTCACATAATAGCTCCTCCACTCGCGGCATTTCTTTTAGAGCAGTCCACTTGTACAGCGAAACGTGCATGTTTTACTGCACCTCCAAATCTTCTAACTTGCTTTTAATATATGTGAACTTACCACTCCACAAATGTTTGGTTTTCAAATCTAGCAATTTCATTTGAAGCGATCCAGCATCAATTCCAAATAGCTCAAAGTTAATCTCATTTGTTTTTTTGTTGAGAGGATCTACAATGAACGCCATAGTACTTGCACTTCTTTTGAATTGTTCAAATCTCTCAGTGAACTCATCCTTCATTTTGTTTATAGTAATGATGAGGTAATTCATGTTAATAGTAGCGTTGGTTTTATCACATTTTTGTTTCAAATTTTCGAAATAAAGTAATTTACCACTCTACCAGTCTTCAACAAAATGAAGCAGTTTATTTTTTCGAAACAAACTTCTTCAAGCAAGGCATATGCTGGGTTTAGTTTCTTTGTTATATCCCCCTATGAAGTCGAATGTTCCAATTTAAGAAAGACAAGTTAATAGGAAGTACATTGAAATAGGGAGTAACTAAATATTCTAATAGAATAGCGAGCGCTTATTGTTTATGGTTATTATTTTATTGTTCATTACCGAGTGTTGCAGAGCAATATTTTTATGAGTTTTGAAAAAAAATTAATATTTGTGAATGGAGTTGAAGAGCCGCATGCGGCTCGCGAGCCGCAGATTGCCGACCCCTGAGCTAGACTGCTAACACGAAGGTCTTATTTTCAAATCCGGGATCAAGTCAGTAGTACGTCTCTGAGTCCACCCAGCTATAATTGGTACCTTGGGGTAGGAAAAGTAAATGCGGCTGGGCATAGTGCTGACGACATTATGCCTTCACTAGGCATGCTGCCTAGCTTCGCTTAGGTTTTCAAAAACATTGAGAATTTGAATGCTTAATTAATTAGTGATTTGCTGTTATGTGTAGTGCTCATATAAGGCGCCGGTCAGTCTTCGTAGACTTTTAGACCAACCCGGCACCGGCCCCCGTGTCCTGTCGCCACAAGGCAGAATCTAAGCGCCTGCGGCGCGGAGAAGTGCCCGACAACTTTGCTTTATATATATAGATTAGCAAATTGCATAGCTAAACAAAGATTTCAATAAGGTAATTAAAGCCTGAAATAGTTTTGTATAGACATTTATTATTTGAGTAGTTTCTAGATCTAGGTAGGGTCTAGATCTAAGTCTAGTTTCTCCGTAGATCTAGATAATCTAGATCTAGAATCTCTAGAGCTAGAAGATCTAGAATATAAAAATCTAGAATATCTAGCGTCTGCGTCTAGTTTTTCTAGATTTTAGAATCCAAATAGATAAAGTAAATTTTATAAGCTTAGGCCGAGAAAATTGTATTGTATAGATCTAGGTTTCATAGGGTACGTAGGTCTAGATCTAAATCAAAGTTGAATGAAATTGTTCCTTCCTTTCTAAACTCGGCAGATGACGCCATTAGTTTCGTGCTCTTTTAGTGTATACAGTAAGCGACGTCATGGTTAAATGCGTTCTTGTCCCTAGTTTAAACACTTTTCCTGTTGCATAATAAACACTGTTTTTCTACATTCGAAAACGCCTTTATTTTTTATTTTTCTTCTTTAAATACAATTGTCGTTATACATTTAAAACATATTATTTTCAACAAAATTCCGTATCAAGTTCTCGATATATCGCTGTAGATTCTGACGTGATGTCCGGCGAAAATATTTTGCGGACAGACAGAGAGAGAGAGAGAGAGAGAGAGAGAGAGAGAGAGAGAGAGAGAGAGAGAGAAGTGCGCACGGGGTCTTTTATTTATTAGGATATGTCGAAGTCAATGGATCTCAAAATCTAAAGAGGAATCGTTAATTTATTTACTTTATATAATTAGTTTATGTAAAGTTTTAAATTTTCAAACATGAAGATAAAAACAACAACAACGCTTTTTCAGTTAAATTTTAATTAATTGCAATATCTAACCTTAATTTTCATAACAGTTATCCATTTGTATTTAAGTATACAGTGTCAGTAATAATAATATTAAACACCAGGCATTGTATATCAGTGCGTATTGAACTGTTGGAACAAATGGAAGCCAGCTATCAGTAGGCGGTCTTTAAGCCCCAGCTCATTTTACAGCCGCCTTTTGTGATGCCGGTGTAGTCCAGGTAGTAGGTGGTCCAGGTGTTGGCCACAACACACTGCTCGGTTGGCGCCCCTCCACCGCACTGGCTTTCGTCGCCGAAAGCCTCCCAGTTGTAACACATGTGTACAGCTCTCATCCAGTACGGTGCGGAGTCGGTAACTTGGAGCATCCATCGCATTCTGCATCCGCCGTCGCGATTTGCTGTGTCGTCGACATAAGGTGTCGTCCATTGGTTGATATTTGCGCAATAGGTTTGTCCTCCATCGCCGCCACATTGCGCGATGTCGTTCTCAGCATACCATTGATAGCAAATTTTCACATCGTTAAACCAAGCTGGATAGTTGGCGGATAAAACACCATTGCATCTTGCAGCCTCCTATTAAATAGTCGGTCAAGTCGGCGTACCAAGGAGACATAGAGTTAACCATGGCACAAAAATAGTGCCCCCCAACTGTTAATGAACATTGAAAAGGCATCCCTGTTTCTATCACGTACATGCAGATTTTGGTGTTCGCAACAAACCAGCTGGGCATAGTGACATAGTCTTTCAAGTCATTGGCTAAAGCATCGACCTCGCTGTCAACAATTTGTTGTTTACTCAGCAAAGCCGCGGCGCGATCACGAAGGCCGTTGATGACTGGGTTATCGGACTTGACCCTGGCTCCATAAATGAGAGATTGCAATTCTCCGATGTAGGCTCTTAACAAATGGTTCTTCACAGCTCGAATCATTGATGATTTCTTTGTTTCGTCTTTAATTAAGTCGCTAATTGGCTTCAGTTTACCTGAAAACAACCAGGGGTCACTCTCGACTGTCGGCTGCCACTTGGAGAGACCGTCACTGCTTAGGACGTTGGTGTCGCCTCCGTAGTACTTCATGGTGGTCTTAGAATTGGATGTAAACTTTTCATCAACATTCCCATTGGAAGACGTGTGCCCTACGCTCACGGAAACCATTTTCATGTACGAAGCTTTGGCATTAGCCTCGATCTCGCTTTCAGTTTTGGTCATTGCGTATTCTTTTGACGTCTCAAAGACCATTCTAATGAAACCACCAAACTTAGCCGAGGTAAAATAATGCGTGCCGTAGGTATCAATAAACTTGTTGTACGCAGTAGGGTTGCTTTCAAAGGTACCAGTCAGTGTAGTATCTACGTACTCTTGAGCAAAACTATCCAGCCCTAATTTTTCCGGCGGGTTGACGTCTGCTCGTGTTGCAGCAGCAAATGCCGTGACCTCAGAGATGTACCTGGAGGAGTTGGTGATGGAGTTCTGCATCTTCTTGTAACTAAAACTGGCAGAGAAGGAGTATTTGCCAGTGTCCGCCTCCAGACCAACGCTGTTGCTCATTGAGTTTCTGACCTCACTGTAAGAGGAGTATGTGTGGGCGTCGGACGAGAGCCAGCCTCCGGGAACAGACGTCATCTGCCAGACCTGTACGGTGTTTGAAAACTTAGATACAGCATAACAAGAGTAAAATCTTAACAACAGAGCAATAGTATTGTACAACGATGTTATATTTTTTAAAGATATCATAACCTAGTTTAGCATTATCTGGAAAAGCAGAGTTGCGCGTTTTTTATTTTTAAAATAGACAATTACACCACCGTTTTTTCTCTTTCCTTAACTGATCGGAAATCACCTGATCATGTTGAAATATTTCTAGATTATAACCAGAGGCGTAGCCACCCTTCCCGGCGCCCGGGGACAAACTTTCAATCTGGCGCCCCCTGTGGTGCAAATTTTCGATTTGCACCCCCACTCAAACTTTCGATGTGCCCCCCCCCCCCTCAAACTTTCGATTTGCACCCCCCCCCCCCCCCTCTCAAACTTTCGATTTGCACCTACCCCTCTCAAACTGCAAAAACGCAGCTAATATGACATTTTAATTTGTTTTTACAACCCATTTTGGCGCCCCCTAAGGTCGACGCCCGGGGACATATGTCCCCCCCCTGCCCCCCCCCCCCCCATCGCTACGCCTCTGATTATAACAAATAGTAGTGGAATAGAAAATAAAAATAATCAGTGTATTATTTATGTCACTATTGGATGTAATGTTTATTCTGTTTTTTATCTGTGGAATGAGGTTGAGGAGCTGATCAAATAGTTCTACGCCTTAAATACTTTTCTTTAGTAAAAGAACTCTATTAGGTAAAAGTCGGCTAAATTGTACTGAAATGTACCTGTTGTGCAAATTATTATATCTAGTAAAGACTATATTATCGATCTTTTTTTTAAAAAAATGCCTCAAATCGTGTGATCTACCATTCGACCTATTGTTTATACCTAGTTTTTACAGTTTTAGCCTTACCATATTTTTATCATCTTATTTTTTTAAATAAACATTTAAATGGAGAGATTGTACAATAACCCTACCTAAATAAAACTTTAAAAATTAGTGCTAATCATCTTTCTATGAGAATACATGGTCAGGTGCTAGAGCATGTAGGTACAAACTCGAATGTCCACTGCTTGGATCTCGGTTAGAGTGTGTATATTGTTTAAGTATACCAAGACTCTTGGTAGGTAAAGTAGCGGCGGTTGGCCATCATTACTATACCCATACATGCAGTGAACTGCCAAGTTCGAAAAGATAACTATATTATCTTTATAACTTTTGTTAGATATTAGCCTTACAAGTGGTATTTTTATACCTATATGTAAGTAATTAGTTTTTTCCATGCTATTATCATTTAATAATTAAATAATTTAAATTATATTTGTTTAAATGAAGATTGCTTCTTAACTTTTCAAATGCAAATTGTTTTTAAATTCGTTTTTTCCTTAGGTGTACGGTGTACAAATATTTTCGGTTTTCACCTGCGTATCCTGCAAACTTAAGTACCAGGCTGGTAGGTATACTGGATGGTTATTTCTTAACTTTAGATATTTACTTAAATAAATTGCATTAAAGCGGGAATAAGTTAAAATAAAACAACTTTGCTTATCACAACTTACCTGGTCAGGTAGTTCGTACAAAGTGCCCTTCACACTCTTGTACTGTTTTCCTTGGTCGCAGGTGAAGGGTATGATTGGACTCATGACTCCGTCATCACCAACTATGTCAATGGGCAGCATGTCCAGCTTTGAGACGTCAACACCCCGAACCATTTTTGACAGACCAGGAGGTAAATGGGTACAATGTTTTGCGGCTGTCTGTGACGCTATGACAGCTAAAAGCAGGAGTATCAGAAGATACATGCTCTCAAACCTATGTAAATACAAAATATAATGAAATTACTAACATTTTAGACTTGATGCATAAAACTGTCAAGTGAATTTAATGTTGCGGAAGAGCGAAAACAAATTTAGTCAAGTCACGCTGCTAATTTTACTCTGTACCGAAATTGAACGATTTGCTGTAAAATTAATTCATTTTACACAATTCTCTTTCATTTAATAAAGCTCAACCAACTTTGTCGTATATGTCTTTTTTTATTTGCCGTGTGAAGAGCTATGAATTTGTAGTCATATTCATAGGATATTTGTAAAAAGCTATGATTTATTTTGTACAGAACACTTCAAAATATTGAAAAACCTTGTGTTTAAATGTTTTTACATCAACATTGCTGTAAAAAAAAATTAAGTTTTACTATAAATCGTAGTATAAATACCAACTAATTAGACTTAAACAAATCAAATTTTCTTGTACTAATTTTAATGTATTAAAATACATTGCGTATCACTAAGTTATTGCGAATAACGTAGCCAAATATACTAAAATAAATCGCAGAAAAAATATAGTTAAATTTGCTAGAAAAATACATACGTATTTGACTTTCAACCACTGACTCAGTAGTCTAATAACTACGAGTCCCTGAAAAATGACCAGCAAACGACTTGATTATATTGGCAAACATGATGAATTAAAAACAGATTTACACATATAATAGATTTTCATGTGGGTGTGCGGGCATCAGATGAAAAAAAAATCAATAGTCAGTCACAAAACTACGAAATCATTACACCATGCAGCCTAAATTTTAGGTATAAACACAAAAGAAAGCATGCATTAGTAAAGAAAAAACAAACTTGGACATAAAGGTAGACGTGCGAAAATGTCCAGTTTGACACATAGTTATAAGTATGAACACAGATGTGGACATGGCCGTTGACACGGATGTGGCGTGGACATGGACAAAGACGTGATCGTACGAGTACGAGTACGAGTACGAGTACGAGTACGAGTATGAGTATGATTATGAGTATGAGTATGAGTATGAGTATGAGTATGAGTATGAGTATGAGTATGAGTATGAGTATGAGTATGAGTATGAGTATGAGTATGAGTATGAGTATGAGTATGAGTATGAGTATGAGTATGAGTATGAGTATGAGTATGAGTATGAGTATGAGTATGAGTATGAGTATGAGTATGAGTATGAGTATGAGTATGAGTATGAGTATGAGTATGAGTATGAGTATGAGTATGAGTATGAGTATGAGTATGAGTATGAGTATGAGTATGAGTATGAGTATGAGTATGAGTATGAGTATGAGTATGAGTATGAGTATGAGTATGAGTATGAGTATGAGTATGAGTATGAGTATGAGTATGAGTATGAGTATGAGTATGAGTATGAGTATGAGTATGAGTATGAGTATGAGTATGAGTATGAGTATGAGTATGAGTATGAGTATGAGTATGAGTATGAGTATGAGTATGAGTATGAGTATGAGTATGAGTATGAGTATGAGTATGAGTATGAGTATGAGTATGAGTATGAGTATGAGTATGAGTATGAGTATGAGTATGAGTATGAGTATGAGTATGAGTATGAGTATGAGTATGAGTATGAGTATGAGTATGAGTATGAGTATGAGTATGAGTATGAGTATGAGTATGAGTATGAGTATGAGTATGAGTATGAGTATGAGTATGAGTATGAGTATGAGTATGAGTATGAGTATGAGTATGAGTATGAGTATGAGTATGAGTATGAGTATGAGTATGAGTATGAGTATGAGTATGAGTATGAGTATGAGTATGAGTGTTACGCTTGTGCAGTACAGAGAGAGGGTTTGAGTTACTTGACTCAGCCAACTACCATTTAGCTCATCTCCAATACCAGAGAGAGAGTACTAAACCTTGAGAACCACTAAGGTTGTCTTACGTTCAGACATATCAACGACGTTTAGAAATAAGATGAACCAAATACTTCTTGTACGAATCTTTATTACTGTATTCACGTATCTATATTCCTAGAACCTATCTCCCAACTTGAGTCATGCCAACCAGTACACGTCCTTTCACACCGACGATCGAGATTAGACTCCCTCACACATAAACTCATAGCAACCAAATATCTACACAATTACGTCACTAACTTTCAATCGTGTCATCATACCAATGTGTTCACTTTAGTATTCGCACCAACCTGCACTCAAGTCAATATCTATATCTATCATTATCAAACATACATCATAACTATAAGTATGAGTATGAGTGTGAGTGCGAGTGCGAGTGTGAGTGTGAGTGTGAGCGTGAGCGTGAGCGTGAGCATGAGCATGAGCATGAGCATGAGTATGAGTGTTGTGAACACACGGACACGCCTTTCGGGTGATCCGATGCGTAGCGCAACACATAAGACAAACAACCACAAACGGGTTACAACACAAGACTGAATGAAACAAAGGCTCGTTAAAAACTAAAAGATTTTAATATAATCTACACTATCTACACCTAACACAGTCTAGTCTAAACACAAAATAGACAAGCTAGTAAACTAAGATACAGTGTCTAAAAACTACTCTAAACCTAACATGTTCTAACCTTGGAGATCTGGACAAAACTGAGGTAATCACACACGTTTTCATACACCTTATATACCCTTTCATAAACTGGTACAAACCGGACTATTACAACTCACAGCACGAGAACTGAAGAAGGTCGAACGGGACAGTATACCAAGTACAATAACATTCACCCCCATTCATCCCCCTTCACTCGTTCACTACACCCCCACCGCTAACTCAAAAATTATATGAAAAGTAATTTTTGACTCCAAAAACCTTTAAATAGTATAACAGTGGTGGCTAACATGGTGAGTTGAAGTAACATGAAAGCCAATAACTACTAACATTAGTAGTACAATATACTTTCAAGATGTAAATAAAGTACCACATGGTATTAACACTAATGCAGCAAGTGCCACATAACAATGAAGTGTGTGCAAAAAAAAACACATCATAAAACAGGGTATTAATCTACAAAGTAGATATGTCATTAAAGTCACAAACTTAAAATGATAAACATTACATTCAATAGTATGGTAAACAGTAAAAACTAAGTACACTATCCCAGCGGATAGTAAAAGTAAAAGAAATTGCAATACTGCAAGGCAATAAGTACAAGGTTATCTCCCTGGATTAACTTAAGCAGGACCTGCCAAAGGTCAATATTTATAAATATGTACCAACATTTACAAATCTAGTTATTAATGCAGTAATTTTAAACAAATACAAATTACTCATATAATACCAACATCATGGCATTAGTTGCAGTGGTGTAATCAATATAGGACCACTTAAGGGATACGCGACAAGGCATCGGCAACAAGGTTATTACAGCCTTTAATGTGTTTGATGCACAAGTCGAAGTTTTGAAAATACAACGCCCATCTTACTAACCTGGGATTTTTATTTCCAAACTTTTTCATGAAAGTTAAGGGATTGTGGTCAGTGTACACCACTAAGGGACCAACTGAGGAAGTCACATATATTTCAAAATGCTGCAAAGCAAGTACTAAGGCTAGTGCCTCTTTCTCAATAGTTGAGTAGTTGCGTTGGCAAGCATTTAATTTTTATGAGAAATAGGCAATGGGATGATCCATTCCATTTGTATCCTCTTGTAAGAGCACTGCTCCTACCCCTACTTCGCTGGCATCCACAGCCAGTTTAAATGGTTCACTAAAATCAGGAGCTTTTAGGACGGGGTTGGAGGTTAACATGGCTTTGATTTTTTCAAAAGCTGTTTGACATGGGGCATCCCAAACAAACTTAACGTTACGTTTGAGAAGAGCGGTAAGGGGGGCGGCGACACTAGAGAAGTTTGGACAAAATCGTCTGTAGAAGCCCGACATGCCCAAAAACCTTCTCAACTGTCTTACATTTGTGGGAGGGGACATGTGGTCAATGGCTTCCACTTTGGCTGAAACAGGTCGAACCACGCCATTACCAACGTTGTGGCCGAGATAAGTTATATAAATGTGACAAAATTCACTTTTGCTTAAGTTAATAGTTAAATTGACCAACCTTAACTCAGTAAACAATTTACGGAGTTGGGACAAATGTTGTGAAAAACTAGAAGAATATACAACTACATCATCAATGTATGAGTCAGTGGCGGAACTAGAAAAAATGGGCCACCCCGAAAAAAATTTTTTTGGGCCCCCCATATATGTATATATATATATATATATATATATATATATATATATATATATATATATATATATATATATATATATATATATATATATATATATATATATATATATATATAAACAAACACACAATACGAACATAGGATACTCATTTCTGGCCTGATCGGGTTTTGAAAAAAAAAATTCAATTAAATCTAATCACAACAACATGTCATGTGTATCAGTGGCGGAACTAGAAAAAAAGCCCCCCACCCCCCGAAGAATTTTTTTTGGGCCTATATATATATATATATATATATATATATATATATATATATATATATATATATATATATATATATATATATATATATATATATATATATATATATATATATATATATATATAAAACAAGGTTCGCTCTCAATTTAAAAAAAAATTCCATCTGGTACACGAATAAAACAGAGGTTTTCCAACACACGAGCTGGCCCCTTTCTAAATCTAGTCCAACACACCAAACTGAGGCTTTCATCAAAACGTTACTAACCGTGTGCCCTGTTTTCCAGAAGTTGAATTAAATGTTAACAATGTCGGCAGTTCATTTCTTGGATCTTAGGGCGTGGGTTTGTCCACACTACCAACTAGACACGCCAAGGCATGCTGTAAATCCCTCGGCGACGGCCCAGGTGTCAGGGGAGTTACGGGGCTCTTGGGAGCTACCGGTTACATTACTGCACGGGTGATGGGTGACACATTGTTTCTTCCGGCAGAGCTATTCCCCTCCCCCGAAAACAGTCTACCCTGGAAGAAACATTGGTGCGACACCTAATTAGATTTAGTCATCGAGTGTTGTAGCGAGACTTATTCCTAGTGTTGTGGGAACTTTTAAACGACTGTCTGTGGGGGCCAACTTGCTCATATGTGATGCGCTCAGGATGACACTGCCGCCGGTTGTATTCAAGTAGTAACCTCATCCGCTTTTGCAGGATCACGGGGCGCTAAATCACATATTTCCGTTAGGAGTCCCCACTCAAATATGTACAAATGTTAGGCCTATGACAGAAACTTTTGCGGGGCTGTACTCAACAGCTTCCCAAGTTTTCATGGCGATTGGGTGAATGATGCAGTAATGCATAATAATAATAGAGAGAAAAATGTTTTTCACATGTACAACTGTATGTGGCCAGGTCACGCGTTGGATAACCTTCTGATTTAGGGGAGGGGGGATCCACAAATGACGTCACATTTTTTAACGACTAACAAAAAGCCAGACCCTCACACACCCCACCTCAATGACTATTAATAATGTTCAATTAATTCTAAACGTTCTAATTAATTTCTAAATAATTATATAAAAAATAATCTTACCTGCCCTGTTTTGTGAATTAGATGTGCCTAATACTATGAAAGTAAATTAATATGTGTTGACTAGATCTAGTGCTGTCT